GGGAACTTCCAGCCAAAGTAATTTCCAATAGTCATTACAGAAAAAAAAATAAATAGGTTGCTGCAAATGGACATCTGTAATACCCTGCTTTGAGGTGGGAGCTTGAAATGTGGCTATGCTGTGGCTTGTATATCACTGACATACATTTTTTTTCATGTGAAAATCACTGCATGTTATGAGATTTAGAAAGGAATCACAGCTTACACACACTTAGAAAAAAGTCTTTAATTTTTACATGTGAACTATCAGAATATTTAATTCATATTCAACATATTCAGGTTTCTGATGGTACTAAATGAGATGTGTTTTTCATGAGGAGCATCAAGCATGCTCCCTCCACCCTGCCAATACCATCAAGTCGAATTGAACGAAACTGAGCCAACGCATGGCATTCTCTGGGGTTAGAGGAACCACTTGGCACAGAAGATCAACACTGCCTCTGTTCCCAAATATATTGCTTACATTGAGGCAGCACAGACCTCAAAGCCCAGCAGGTTAGCGATTATCTGACCTAACTGTTTTCAGCAAAGGTCCCATGAAATTTTCTTTGGTTGCACTCAAAATAAGGAAGGAGGTTTTCAGTTGCATCTGTCACCCAAAAAAGGAGTATATTCTCCTTTGTCTCAAAGAGCACGTGTGGATGGGCTGTCTGTGAGTGGCATTAGAGGAGATCTATAACAGCCAATGTGGGACCCAAATGTTGAATATACCCAGCTTCATTTCAGCCTACAAGTCCTTGTAATCACATATGGCACAAGATTTACAGTGGATGGGGGCATGTATTTTTTTCCATTTTCTGTGCGCATGCATGTGAACTATTTCCATATTTGTGGAAGGATGTTCCTTATGACGTGTTTACATTGGGTTTGCTGATATTCAATGTGTATTCAGTGGGGATGCCTTTCATTCACATCAAACAAAAATAGGATAATTCTTGGCAGTCAGCAGATCTCTGTGTTTTTCAGACATTCATTAAGTAAGAAACTTCAACATACGGGTTAGGTTGATAAGGTTTGCCACTTCTTCTGAGGAACCAAAACTCAGGGAGATCGGACAACTTGCCCACAGATGAATGGCAGTAGAGGCCATGGAATCTCACCCCCAGCCCTGCTCTCTAATCATGAGGTAGCATTGTCCTGCTCCTGGGCTGAGGCACACCCCATTGTAAGATCAGCTCTTGTACATGATAAGGGGTAGCATTTTGCACTCATTTATACACATTATAGATGTCTTGATATGTATATTTTACTGTGCATAAATATAAATCAGGTAGTAAACCACTTTCTAATGGCACAGAAAACAGTCAGTCAAAGCTTGGCTCACAGTTCTTCCCCAGCTTTGAGTTGCCTCGGTAGTTTTAAGTGCTGAGCTTAGCGCGTGTAATGTGTCTTCTCATACAGATGGGATGAGACCCTACTTAAAGCAGTAATGATTATATACATCATACTTCTAAGTGTATAAACTGCTTTTGAACACACTGGAAAAGCTAAAATACCAACTGTTAAACCAATGAATCATATGTTGCAAGGGAGTGTTTTTATATTTAATATATAAAATCCAACTGTATATGTATAGGGAGGGTATTTACACATCACATGTGTAAGATATAAATGATCCCGATGAACATGACTGAAGTAAATTATGTTAATGCTCCAGTTAGAACTATTTCTACATTAGTTTCAAAATGTTTTTGTTATACTGTAGATTCAGTGTCAGGAAGATGAAGGAATCTGGGCTTTTAACTGCAACCTCCACACTGCAGTGTGACTCTATGGGGATGTACAAAATTAAACATTTGGTTTAAGCATTAAACAGTAAAGTTTTCTTTTTAATTCCTAGACCTGTATGAAAGCAGATTGGGAAATGGTTTACAGTACTTCCTATTGGGGGCTTCCACACTGACAATGTCAGAAATTACATCACTTTTCTGCTATTTATTTTTTATTGCTTTTCAAGAAGAAGTCTTTAAATAGCCAGCATGTAATTTTCCTGGTGATAAGCGATAACCTTTAAAACAGGCCTATTTTTCTTTTAAGAGAAGGATGCTTCCGTCCCACCTCCAAGTTAGTTGACTTTATCAAGGGAAGCCGCCATCCCTCCCCACGTCTTGTCTTGCCAGTCCTGAAAGGTGTGGAAGGATTCATCACTAGAGGGAGTCGTTGTGTTCTCAGTACACCTTCTCTGTAGTCAGAGCTTGTGATGGATGGTCTAGCAACTGGTCCCATGGTGACTAGTCCCATGCAACTATCTGCAGGAAGGATGGTCTAACCATGATGTCAGCTCCAAGTAAGGAGACCCTGTTGACCCTTTTCTTATTTCATTCTCCAAGTGTCTCTTCCCAGGTGAAGGACCAAGGAGAGAAGGCAGCCTTCATGCTCCCTCTGCCTCCATGGGCAGTAGGCCCCATCTTGAAGGCTTTCCACTTGGGAGAGAGAGCAGCTAGCACATAGTCTTGCTATATAAGGATGACAGGACAAAAAACAGAGTGGGAGGAGAAGTCCCAATGGATAAGGGGGAGGGGAGAAAACCTGCAGAGAAATGGGGAAGGGAACAAACATCAAAAGTCTGAAAATCCCAGTAGGATGAATGGAATAGATGGTACAAGAAAGGCATATGAGGGAGAGGGGTAGATAAATAGTGGTGATTTAGAGGGAAATATGGCAAGTGGAAAAGAGGTGTGCAATGAAGGAAACAAAACCAGTCAAGGGAAGATGAGAAAAGATCATGAATTCTTAAAAGGGAAGATGTATGAAGATCTTAGGAAGAGGAATAGGAACATTTTCAACAGAGTATTTGTGGCACTGAAGTAAAAAGTTACACTCATCAAAAAAGCTCCACTGACCATCAGCAAAAGCTGAAGTACCATACTTAACACATACTTAACAAATTGAGTAATGCAATAATTGAGGACAAAATGAAGTTTGGAGGGCCAGTCTGAATATGTGATGGACAAAGGCAACAATAAGAGATATAACCTGTTTAGGTTTCAAATCATGTTTACAGCAGACTGTCTGCCGCTGGATAAACTAATGAATACCCCCAGCTATGGTGACATACGTAAGAAAATCTACAGGGGTAAGTTAATCCAGCTTTATGTTCCCCCCAGTCTGAGCTGAGCACGTTGCCTAAGGCCACTCTAACACACAGATCTTTCCTCTCAAAAGTGGCATGAGCTGTGCGAGATGTTCATGGTTGCTTTTTCTCCTTGGGCCAAATCCCTGAAACATGCCCATCTGTGGTCTCCAGGCTTTTGGAAAGGTACTGCTGCTCTAGGACACTCCTCTCATTTTCAGCTACTTGAGCATACTGCAGCCTGTACTCTTGGATAGTCTGCTGTAGTGTTTCTGTGCATTAAAATTGTATGGGAAATAAATGAAAGCATGTGGATTTGTTACAGGCTTCTTCGTATTTTTAAATAGAACGTAATTTGCTATTGGCAAATTAATCTCATTTGTCGTAGTTTCATTTGTTTAAATCATGTGAGTAGTGTTATTCATGTGCAAAGGAGTTGGCAAATGCTGCCAAATCCACTAACACATCTAGCTGCTGAACATAGCACTTGGAAATGGAGTTATTTGCCATCCTCATTTTGTAGTATGCTAACTTCCATGACAACCCACTGTGATATTAGAGAAACTTATGGCTTTGCCTGGAGAAAAAACAAAAAGAAATTATTAACCTACCAATATCACACAGGGACTACCAGAAAACTGTGGTGAGTGAGACAGATTTGCAGGACTGGACTCTTTTGTCAGTGGTGGAAGTGGTTCCACTAACCTGTTGCACAATGTATTTACAATCCAATTCCAAGTCTTTGCATTCATCTTTTCATTTTTACAGCTTTCAGTTAGGAGAAGTTATTGACACCACTCCAGCTCTTTTGTGCATACAATAAATATATAAATGTTAATCATACTTAAGAATTCTAGGCTAGGGGATCCCACGTGCTGCAGATGACACTAAAGTGGCTGCACCATTTTGATTGATTTCTGTACAGTATCACAGTAGTGTCATCTTCATAAGAGAGCTGTGGGCTGCCCTGGTGGCTTGCCAGAAGCCCAAGGGCTGTATCAGATTTACATGAAATGGAGCATATTGCCACCCTTGGCATTAACACAGAGGCACGTCCCAAAGACTGTGCAGGTCCCAACATGCAATGAGCCATCTTAATCCAAGCAGACATACCAGAGACTCTGTATTTTCTACAGCCAATGTACCTGTCTGCCTACCAGGGTGACAGCAAGCCTCCTTCAGGCTGCACTATTTGTATGCTAAGCAAGCTGTCAAAAAAACCCAGCAGTGCAGCCAGTATAATTATCTTTTATCTCACATGAGTTCAAAAGGAGGGCTTTCCCACTGCCACACTGTCTTCATAGCCATCTGCTCCAGAACCATTTTGACTGTCAGTGTTTTATGTGGAAAATTAAAGGGGGGGATGACTGTCATAGGTTCCTAATGACATCTTGGGGTTATTTTATATGCTAAGTCGTTTATATCTTTTACAATTTAAAAGCATGCTGACATCATACACATAATAGTCATACAGGACTGCCCGCATGTTTGCAAATAAATGTTAGAATTCATGGCAATCTTTTTTTCTCATGTCAAAGATGATTAAATAATTCAGGTCCATTTTCTTCAGGCACTTTCTCTGTAAATGGAAATGCCTCTGTCTATATCTGTTAGTTGCTAATAGACATGAGTCCACAGACAACTGTATGTTGCAAGCTTTTATTATTTATTTACAAAAGACAGTTGAAGAATTTTAGAAGTAATTATTATTTTCTATCAGCTCCACATACGTTTGCAAATAATAAGTAACATTTCAACTCTGCCTAGGGCTCCCTTGTAAAGAATAGTATTGAACTATTACAACTTCAGGTCAATAACATATCTTTTCTTGGTACCACTTACTGTGTAAGTATTGCCTAGTTATCTTCTTCTCTCATGATGCTGTGGCTTTTTGATTTGTTGATACTCCACAAAGTACATGTATTTCTCACACTCCAACAGCTTTGTATTTCTATAGCATACTTCATTAGCTAATGAAGATTGAAGCCAGGCAATTTATTTTCATTATATATGTGTCTGATGCTCGGTAAACCTGAAAAGTGAAACAGAAATATGCTAAAACGTGCTTATATCATTTTACTACTTCAGTTATATCGGTGTGCATGACTGTATCCTCATGTGACTCTAATACAGGCTATATTTCTTCTTTCACTCATGTAAATGTACGTGTAGTCTTCTAAATGCATGGCCTATTGGTTTGTGGTTGGGGTTTTTTTAAGCCTAACAAGAAATTATATCAATTTAAGCCACCTTAAGGACTTAGAAAAGCCAATCTGTACCATGAAGTATCTTTATATACAATTTTGAATCATTTTTAGGAAAGAAAGCTGGTGCATCACTTAACTGCTAGAGCTCATGAAATTGCATATCATGTAAGATCAGTCTACAATATATCTGAAATACCTGAGAGTCCAACAAGCTTTGTATTTGAAATCAAGCCAGCACCCTGACCTGTTATAGTCACGGTGTTCAGCTCTGGTTCTGTAACACACAATGTCAGATGTACCCCACTGTGCAAAGGTGACAAAGCAAAATCCACCAGTCCTGTAGGCGTTTGACTTTTGGACAAAAATGTCAACCTGCATGTCTTGGAAGCAAGTCATATCAGCAAAACAAAGCTAGCTCATCACATGCTTAAAAGCCTAATTTAAAAGTCACACTTAAACAGACATCCCAGCATTTACTTGTATTAGGTGTACTTATGGTGTTCGATGAAACATTTATTCCCTGTCCATGACTGGTTGTGTCATGTCTTGCTGTATCACATAACAGTGCTATTCACAGCGATGGGGGCTTCATGCTGTGTGCCTTTCCAAGTGTTTAGCAGTGGACACCCACGATGAAGCAGCAGTTTACTTCCCAGTTCATGTAAAATATTCCACTAGCAGAGTAGGTGTTCTTGGTAATGATTTCAGCAAATGTAAGGCATGGTCAGAGTTGTCTTTGCAGAAGAATGGGGAATGCAATCCTCAATTGCTAGCAGCAGAAATACAGCTCTCCTAATCAAAGTAATCTACGGCACATCTATTTCAAATATGACATATAATTTAAACTTGTCTGCCTCCTGTTTCTGATTCAGAGCGTTTGGGTTTCAACACGGTAAGACGGCTGCAGTTGAAGGGGAAGTATTTATTTTCCACTTCCCATGAAGCAGTGGTCCCATGGATGTACTTCAGCCTACTAGAAAATAGTCCCTCTTTATCTGAAACAACTCAAGATAAAATACAGCCAGTTGGCATCACATATCGAATCTTTTTCAAGCACAGTATGTTTCAAAGAGAATAGGCCAAATTCCTTCCCAGCGTAGCTCCATAGAAACCCACTGGTTTGATTCGGCAGATAGCCAAACATAAATACTGTTATAGAAAAGATTCATTTGGAATCAAACATGGAAAACTTTTGAGTTAGGATGATATCTGAAAATATTTGCTCAGTGGAATTAAGACATTCAAAATACTTGGCTGGATTCACCTTAGAGTTTATACTAGCTCTAGTGTAAACTTCATGGTGGATCAAAGCCACAGATACCCACAGGACCATGCAAGCAATGCAGGGGAAAAGCGACCAAAGTCCACTTTGCTTTGGGGAGTTTTCTGCAGTTGTCTGTAGATGAACCCCAAAGTGGGGCATCCTCCCTGGGAAGATGAAGTGACTGTATGGTGATCTATGACCTAACGTACTGCTTTTCCTTCAGGAGATGCCTCCTTTGTGAACACACGTGGAACTCAAGTGGGAATTAAAGCTGCAGAAATCAAAGTCCTTTCTCCACCAGCTTCCATCTACTAATAATTCCTCACTGAAAACTGGTTTCTTTAATGATCTGGGCTTCTTTTTTTCCAGATCATACTTGAATGATGCAATGGCAGGAGACACCCTAGGGTGTTACCACACTTCGAGAGGTGACTTCAAGGCCAGCAACACTCCCTGCATGCAACACTACCTTGCAGTATTGTCTCATACCATTGTTCTCCATTGCTTAAATATTTGGAGAGGTCCATCATGCTTTGTCATTGCACTTCAGCCTTTTGAGTGTATAGAAGACAGATCTCTACTGCTGAGTGCAATAGTCAGCGCTTGACAGTGACCTGAAAATTCTTCACCCGTGATTTGACCAGATGAAGGCATTTAGCAGGATGTACCAAATGCCTCTCACACTTGTAAATTATTCAGTGGTACCCCCCATAATGTATGATTTATTTGGATTCATTGCTGCTTCAAACTGCATTTTAGGAAGAATGACAAGACTGAACTCATGGAAACAGATCCTAATTTTTAGACCAATATAAACCACTAGGAGCTCTGTTAAAGGCAGAACTGCCAAAAATCAAGATCAGGTCTCCATGGTTCTTGGCATAGGGGAAGCTGCTTGAGTTTGGTTCCCATTAGTTATTTAGCACTTCTAGTATTTTTGTTGCTTCTGTTGCTTCATTCAACTAACTTCCAGGATCCTGAAGAATTTTATTCCATGGAGACAAATGCTATATTATTTTTTTCTAAGCACTGTTAAATCAGCAGGAGTTACTTGTATGCAATGTTATAATAGCAGTTGAAGTAATATGATATTATGTGTTTATGTCTTGGTTAAAAATATGCCAGTGACCAAGCTATGTCAAAATGATACTGTGATTCTTCAGTTGCCAATGAAAAAGTAATCATATACTCCAATCTGTTTGAGCATTATTCACACACACACACACTTACACACTCACAAGTCCTAATTATTAAATGCTGCCACCTTTTTGGCTGCCAGCAATAAAAAGTAGAAATGCCTCCTCACAGTAGCGCCCATTGTAAACACTTACTTGGCATAAGTATTTCCCATCTCTGCTTGCAGGCATTTGCAAACACTACCCATCATAATGCACAAGGACAGCCACAGTCTCTGTGACAGCCAAAGCATGTTTTCGGGTCCAGGCCTTAAGAAAAGTGTAGTAAGTTGTAAAAATGCGGGCTAACCTTTCAGCATCATGAAGAAAAGTAAGCAAGCTATGAGGCAGAGAGTAGCAGCCATATGTTCATTACCTTTAACTTTAGGCTGCTTGGCCGAAACATGGCAAGTGTCTTATTCAGCTCTCCACTGCTGTGCATACATTTGTGCTAAAATTTAAACTTCCATTATATAAAATTTTAACAGAAAACAGAATTCTCTTGAAGCAGGGCTGAAATCTCTGAGGTCGGGCATAGGAACACACTTTTCTCTAAGGTTCAGAGTAACCCCTGAGTCATGCAGCAGATGGATCCAGTTAGCCTCAATTAAGACATGAGAACATTGGGCTGGTTTGTCAGAGAGGTATTGCTGCAGGGGTGGGAAGAGGGCCTTCAAGGAGAAAGTGTAGTAGTAAACTCCAGTGCAGAATCTCACCATACTGAAATGTATGTCTTGTTATTGAAATTAACTATCATGAAAGAGAGATTTTGAATGTTGTACTAAGAGAAAGGTGCAGGACCCTCCCCAGCTGCAAGCAGTATCAGGTAATACCCTAATTAAAAAAAAAGATACAGATTTCTTTCTGTTTGCTTGGGGTTGATCAGAGAATACCCAAATTTTTATCATCTCAACAATTAAAGACATAAACAGATAAATGGAGGCTAGCTCCTTAAAAGCATTGTAGAACGACTATCAAATCCCAGTTTGATTATCTGGCAAAAGAAATCTCGCTTATAAAACGCAGGAGCTTGTCTTCCTAAATGTGGGGACACTGTTTACATACTGTAAAGAGCTACTCAAATACATAAATTGGTAACTGTATTGAAGAAAAAGAAAGGTGCCTTTTTTTTTCTTTTTTTCTGATAGCTGGTGCTTGCAGTGACAGAAGCATCTAAAAGCATGTGTTTCCAATGTATTTCTTGATTTTTCAAATATAGGCCTGCTTTTCAGAGGTTGACTTTACAATGAAATATGAATTTTTAAATATAAATATTTCTTAACTTGAAATAGCAATACCTCACCTGCAGGATGAAATAACAGTCCTATTAGATAACCTGAAGATTGTAGAAACACAATAGCTATACTTGCATGCATCTTGCTTACCTTCTGTAGATACAGGTAAGACATTCATTGATTTTTTAAAACTCCCATTTTCTAGTTACACGCCTTAGTTTAAATACAGTCATCTTAATCAAAAACAGGAGAAGAAAGATGTATTGCTTGCTACCTCTTTTCCATTCTGCAATTCAGGCCCTACTTCATACCTCCAGTACATTTGTTTCCATCTGATAAGTATTTTATTACATGGAGCATGATCAAGGTCTTGATGGGGCATTATTTGCACACAACCAGGCAGGTGTTAAAGCTCCTTTCATAATCTTAATGACACATAAGCATCTCTAGGACCTTCAGTGAGAACACCTACCTCACAACAGAGAGACATCCCATTTATTTTGTAAGTGCAGTCCCTGTTCCTGCCCATTTTGTCCTTCTGGATCCAGAGTACAACACTTTTTCTCCATCATTTAATCTTTGATTCTCTTCCTCCGTGCTGTTCCCCAATATCTGTAGGGTGAGATACCAAGGAAAAGGATGGGCTCAGTCCCTTCATTTCTGTTTCTAGCTACTCAGCACAAGTAGCTCAATGACTTAGGAGACACATAGGCACAGCAGTTAGCTTTGGGGACAGATATCTGCCATTTAGAGTCCCCTTTGGAGCTGGCTGTATCTCTACTGAGACTACTGCAAAAGAAAAATGCACTTGTGTAACTGAGCAAGACACAGTGGGAGTTTGGTCCTCAGTCCAAGGTGTATGAGTTCACTAGGCTCATAGAGGAGGGACAGCCTAGATCCTCCATCCGTCGGTGCAGAAATAAAAACATGCAGGTTAAACTGTCCTCTGCTGCCGCTTGGAGGAAGGGTGAGATTTGGGGTGAAGGGCTGCTCAGACCACCATAAGTGCAGTGGAAGAGGGCCGGGTTGTACAATAAGAGACTTCAAGGGTCTATACTCATGGTGCATTAAGAAGGCAGGAGCTTGATAAGTTCTGTTGAATCTGAGCAGGCAAAATATGTTCCTTTACAACTCCTCTACCCCAGGCTGATGCACACATAATTTTCTGAAACAATTGTTGTTTACACTAAAGTTTTCTATGTTTGGTCTTTCTCCAACAGCAAATTTCATTGTCAGGTTTTAGCAGAAACACTGCTGCTGCTGCTTGGGTGGGCACATGTAGGGAAGAAGGATCTTTTTAGAACATCTGAATTTTATCATGGAATCAGAAAAAAAAAAAAAAAAAGTGGCTGAAGTCTGGTATTTGGAATGAATGAAAGTCTTCGCTAATACCAAGCAAAGCTGACCTTTTGCAGGGCAATATGAAGCATATATTGCTTTAACGCATTTGGCTAAGATCAAGAATGAAGTGACTCAATGTCCTGACTGGTTACAGAAATGCTGTTCCTCCATGCAAAACTGATTTGAATATTGAGCTATGGTTCAGTGTTGTTGATTTCAACATGTGATGGATCAACCCCACAATTTAAGAGCAACCTCAATTGTCCAGAGAACTTACAAGCCCTCCTGGCAGAGTTGTGCAAGACCAGAGGGTTAGTTTGTTTTGTTTTGTTTAATGGGGTTGTAACCTTGCCAAGCAAAGAGGCAGACTGCACATCAGTAACGACAACTTTTTTCCAATTTCAGTGCTCTGCTGAGATCACAACAATCTCCAAGAGCAGATCTTTAAGTCTTTTTAAAACTTGCTTTTGGTAACATGTCTCTTTGGGGTGTTAAGTTACAGCAAAGCTCACATTTCCACTATATACTCTTAGATAATTCAGGAATTTTACTTGAGGCTTGCTCTGCAGCCTTGGAAAAGTAGTTTCACCTTTTGTCTGCCTCTAAGAGGACAAGATTTAGAAATGACCTGACAACAAATACTATGTAAAGATAAGAAATTACTGTTGTTATTATAGAAATATGGAGCTATGTGAGTTACTAGAAATACTTGTTTTATTACTATCATTACTATTATTGAATTAGTACTTGTGGAAAAAAATCTGTAATGTAAGAGGAAATAGAGGACTGAAAGTTTGTTTGAAAATGAAGAGAAAGATGTTAGACGATTAAGAATTCTCTTTATGGTCCAGTCCAAGAAAAATATTCAATAAAGTTACATTGGCAGTAATGGAGTGATCTTCTTGGTAGCAAAATTGGAGGTAATTCTGCTATCATTTCTCATTATTCTTATTATCTACTACCGTATAAGTAGCAATCCAGAAATGCCCTGAGTCAGTTTGTACCCAAAGCGAACAACAGCATCCTTCTTGAAAGCATTCCAGATGTAACCAGGGTCGTAAAACAAAGCAGAAAGTTGACAGTTTTATTGTGATGCACATTACAATCAAGTAGTTATCTGATGGATCATCTGCTTTTTATGATCCATGATGAGAAATATAGCTGTCATATGAGGAATAGATTTCTCATCATAAAACTTACCTCTGTAATTTCAGCACCTGAATAAGTGCTGCCTCAGGTGCTGATTGTGCTAGTAAACACTGTCTGAAGAGTGATTTCCCCATCTGTTTCTCCTCCTTCCATTTAAATGCACAGCTTGGCAACAAGTGTGTTTCTGCAGTTCCCTTTCCTTCAGCAGCTGCTGCTATTAAAGATCTCATATGGGGAGGTTCCTGTTGGATAGCTGGTGACGCAGGAGTTCACCTGGGGAAAGAAAAGCCTTCGCGAGGTATGTAGGTCAGTGTTTCTGTAGGTAGGTGGTGAAGTAATCTCTCATGGGGAAGTTAACTCTATGGTAGAGCAAATCTCTTCAAGTCACTGCTGCCGCTGGAAGGGGCTAAATTTGTGCAAGTCATTTAACTCAGGTTTCCAGTGTAATCAGTGAGAGAAAAGCTCCTGGTTTAGGTAGATTTTGTATCTCTGAATTGGTTAGGATCTTAACTTGGCATCTGGGTTAGATGTCTAAAATTACAGCTTTCAAACTCCCCGTGACATATTTATATACAGCATTTTCTTGATCGGAGAAAACAAGATACATATTGAGGGCATAGATCAAAACATTAGGTCCTCAGAAAGCTGCAATGGTTTCACCACTATCCATAAGGCTTCTGGTATAAATTGCATGGATGTTAAAAGCGAGGAAACCTCTTCGTCTAACGTGATGATTGAACCACAGGAACAAATTTTCCTCTTGGATTTGTGTTGCAGACCCCCTATGTTAGGGAGAGGTTATACGTTTCAGTGCGCTGACAGACACTATTACATACTGTGCTTTATTCACCCCTGTTCCACTGGCCTCCAATAGCCCTGTGTGCCTCTGATTCCCTCTGCCTTTGGCACTTCTGCTGGTGAGACTCCCAGCTGGGGGTGTGGTTTAGCTAAAATGGGTGCTTTTCACCAAAAGAATAAATTATTCCTATACTACTGTCTGAAAAGGGTGGATCTGGAGCCAATTTAGTGAGCGTAACTTACAATTGACTTTGGAAGTAATAACTTATGCTTTGAGCTTCCTTAGATGTATAGCCAAGGAGCTGTCTGACTGCATGTGTTTTTACACATCTTTCAGCTAAATTAGAAAACCAAGTGCAAAACTTAATGTGTGGAGATATCTTGGAGATTTGTGACCTTCCCAAAAAGACTTGGGGTCCATAAACCAGCCAGAGAGTCTACTGCTTCCATATACCTTTTGTTGTTGTTGTTTTTTTCCCCACAAATGACACATTGGTAAATAGTAAATGGAGTTTATTATATCTTAATTAATGAATCTGAGTATAATTTGCCCCAGTCCTGGCAAGCAAACTCTGCTGGAAAGCTGATTAGTGGAGGAAGCCAACTTAACTGAACACCTTCTCCAGAGATGTGACTAAAGATTGAAGTATATATATTCATACGTGTGAAAGGTAGAAAAGCCTTAGGAAAGCAAAAGACGAAGATTTCACTGAGCTGAGGAATAGGAAGGCAAGGGGTGGAGTCTTTAAGGAGGTGGGAAGGAAGGGAATGGTGAAAAAGGGAAAAAGTGTAGTAGAAAAACATCAAAGGGAAGATAAAAAGAATCATGAATTGGAGATGCTGAGAATGGCTGAGGACACTTGGTCCAAGGAACCTAGCTGGGTATGTTGTCCACTGATGCCGAGAAAAAAGAGCTTAAAGCAAACCCTGAAGGCAAGGAAAGAATCTGCTGTTGAGTTTAGTGGTCTGTACATCAAGCTAGTGGAAAGAGAACTAAATCAAGGAAATATATATAAAGAGTGGGAATAATGGCAGATGCAGACAGTTCATTTCTTCCTACTGTCAAATTTGTGAGTTTACCCTGATGGGATGCTACCAGCAGTGATGATGAACATTACAAAACTTGGCTGTATTTATGCCACTCAGGTCACTGCCTGGCCAGGCTCCTGTTGATTCCAGTGGGAGTTTGTATGAGAACACACAAGTCCCTCCTCTCCAGAGATGGGAATTCCCTGCCAAAGGATTCTGTCAGATAGCTTGAGCAGATATATTGAATTGCTGGTGTACTTTTAGTAGACTAATTAGCACCTCTGACAAGGCAAACTAAACAATTTCAATCTTGAATATAGAAAGCAAAGTACTTAGATTTGTGGGAAGAGCTTTATTTCAGAAAGGTGCTGAAGTTTGCATGAAAATACACAACTTAAGGCACAGCACACACCTGAGCAAAAATTACCTAATGAGAACAAGAACAATCTCTAAATGTGCTTTTAATACGTGAATTTGAATGTGTTAAACATTATGTATGTTGCTGCACTTATTTTTCTTCTTATGTAGACAGGCACGAGCCTTTCCTACATTGTACTTTGTGTAATTCATACCCATGCAAAACACATACCAAGTAGGAGTAAATCGAGTTGGTTGCACCTTTTGGTTAGATATGTGAATAACTATTCTGGATGTAAAGCAGCTGAAAACGATGCTCTTTTTACCTAGTATTTGCATATCTGCTAACATGAAGGATCACACGTTTTACACAGTTCCTACACGATAATAATTGCAGATGGCGAATGTCCCGTTACTCATGTAGCTGGTCATTTTTGTATGCAATTACCAGAATTGCATGCTCAGTTCCAGTAACCATGTGCACAAAAATAGGCTGCAAAAACCTGCTTAGGATTGTTAATAACATGGTCCAAAGTCTCAGTCTTTACTGCTGTGTTGTTTTATGTTTGTTTTGTAAGAGAACTGAGCTAGGAATGAGTTTGGTTGTTGTCTATTCAAGTAAAAGGAGGCATACATCTACATGTATGGGGCTGCAGGACTACAGGATTTTTGCATTGACTTACATATTATTTAAATACTGAACTTGGTATAATGAGCTGGTGGGCCGGAAGAGAGATATTGCACCCAGTGACCAGCTGTAGTGTATGGTTCAAACAAGGAACAAGCAGCTTCTGAAATTTTGCATTTAAAATGTACGCATCTTGAACTAGCAGTCTCATAGTGAGGCGTAAGTCTTTGCCATAAGCGATTCAAAATCAGGCTGCAGTAGTTCAGAGAATACTTAATTGGCATTTCTCTTTTTTGCATATCACTGTTCTCATCAGGTCTAATATGTGTTTTTTTTCCCGCCTCTACAAACTTCTTTGCCTTAAAGGACTCATGAAGGAAATAATTAAAAAGTACACAGAGGAAAACTGTCTGAGCAGAAGGGGCAGAAATCCAAAGTGGTTTAGGGAGGTGCCCCAAACACTCTTTTGGGTGATTATTAATTTTTTTCTTACTATTATTTTATGACGCTGTTTATGTTTAATTACTCATGTTTTCCTAACCTCTGTGACAGGCATAATTTGAAGAGCAATAGTAATGATCAAGCTGTGGAGGTGCCAGCTGCTGCCTACGTGCTCGAGCAAGCATAGAGCAGGCAGTGTCAGGAGACAGTGCTGTCTTTTGATTAGATCTGATGAACTTCTTTTTCATGTTGATGAAAATGATCCTGACTGTTATTATTTAAATATAAACAATGCTAAAAGATGCTATGAAAAATCAGAGCTCTCTCAGTTCACTGCCTGTATGGAATAGTAAGTTCATGGCACTTTACTGCAGTATATGCTGTTAAAATATATACTGTTTTAGTTTTTAAAAAGACAGTTGGTTTACTTGGGTCTTTTTAGTGTAAACTGCCAGACAGCCCATCTAGGTTAATATGATTTTATTTTTTTTATATCAGTGAACAATTTCACTCTTTATGTTTTCAAACCAAACCTCAAGACCACAGAAATTAGCAGTTCTGTCAAGTACCGTGTGCTAGTGTATTTTTCATTTAGAAACGGTAGTATCATTTTGGTTTGGGTTTTTCTGGTTACTAAAGCTTTTGGTTGTTTCATGCTTCAGCTGTCTTCTGCTTTAGTGAGATGTTGTGTGTAGCACTGCTGAACAAGTAGTAAGTAGTACATCATTAGAACATGAAGTCTTTTCAATGCATGGGATGATGCACTTCTAAAAAGTTTTGATGAAGTCTGATATCTTTTGGAGTGAAGATGAAATCAGGGGAAAAGGAAAGCATTCTACTGTAGGCTGCAGCATCAGTCCACTGCAGGGTCCTTCCTTGCAAATGAGACAGTGAATCCCTGACTGAACAACAGTGAAGTGAAATAAATTTCTGTTTGTTCTGTGTTGCCAAACTTTGCAGTCCTGTAATTAATATAATACTATTTTGTTCCTGTTATTGTTTACAAAAAAACAGAAATTTCTGGGATCCTGTGATTATACAAATCTCAACTTTTGGACGTGATAAGTTTTTACTCTGACCTTTTATATGTGGAGAAAATCTCTGGAAAGATGAAAACTAAATCTTTAGAGCACAGAAGACAAACCAATAAACTCATGAGTTCTGTTACTTCCTAGTCAATAATAGGGATCTGGAGGGGAAAAATTAAGCAAGAGATGATAATTTTTTAATATTGCTAGGGTGAGTATTTGACTTTTATGTGAAAGAAGCTATAAAAGAAAATACAGGACAGAAATAGAAGTGAGACTTCAGACGAACAAGAAATATGTGGTTAAGTATGTCACCTGCTGCATCAAGGTGCTGTATGTCCACTCATATTTGGAGCAGTTTGCTGCTAGGTGGCTGCTCACTACAAATCAACTGCAAGGACTTATTCAGGGCCAATTATGACAGATGCTTAATCTGTAGTAAGCTACATATCAGAATGAAGTGGTGGGATACAGCTTGGGTTCTCTTCTTGATCCTCCCTTTCATTCCAAGGTGTTAGGCAAGTCCCTAAATCACCCCCCATCCACATTTGTGTAATGGGGATCACAGTGCTTTCTTTCCATTTTAATGTCATCAGTATTGCTTAATTACATAAAAACTGTATCTTTCTTCTCTGGTGGTCCTTCATAGTCATCATAGTGCTGCTATGAAGCAGTTCTATTTTGTCTAAATGGTATTACATCTAGTTGAAGTCTTGCTCGGGTTACAAGTGAAATTAAGCTGCCAAGTTGTTCATCTAGCTTTCTTAGCTGCTTTTTAGATTCTCAGTAGATACATGCCAGTTCTGTCATTCATGGCTTTATGTGTTCGTACATATTGCCCATTACATTGGAATACATCAAAGTAAACCAAGCCATAAAGTTTATTGGTGACCT